ACCCAATGGCAAGTGTTAAAATTTAAAACCAAAGGATTACAACAAACAAGACAAAGACCCAAGAACCAGATGCTCAAATCCTATAATTTCTCTCGATATTTAAAATTATGTTTTCTGGGTCAAGCAAATGCCATAATTTATTGGAGTACTAGTCCTCTAAAACATCTATCTTGAACGGCACTAGCAATCTAACACATCTCTAATTCATTCATTCAATCAAAAAAGGAAAAAATTGATTATATGTCAGGGACTACAGAAAGTGCTGAGGACACAAAGGTGATCAAAACATAATCATTCTTAACTCATGGAGTTCATGTGCCAGGAAGAAAGATAATCAAAGGATCGCACAAACCTAAACGTGACAGATGCTATAAATTAATTCGGGGCCCATGAAAGCATGTAGCAGGGGGACCCAACCTGGTCTTAGAATGTTAATGGGGTGAGGCTATTCCAGGAGGAAGTTCAGAAATGAGAATGGCATTGAAATAGTGAGGGATGGAGAACATGCAGGAAACTGAAATAAGTCCAAATAAAGCGTGACTTTGGATGAAGAATCAGACGTACCACACAAAACTATCAAATCACGTGACATAATTTAATGGCTGAAAACACCAGTCCTCATACGAAAACTGTGTCGCAGCTGCCTGGTTGAAAAGGAGTAGTGGAAACATAAAGAGCATTCTACAAACAGTAAAAAGGACTGAACGATAGCAGTGAGCAGGACATATGAACAGGAAAGGAATGGGGCATCTTCCAATGGTTAGTGACTCTCTTGTAGAGAGAAGATGTGACCTGTTTTGTGCCTGTATAGAATTGGGGAAAGTTTTGTTGTAATGGATAAGAAAAATCACCCTGGAAGACTGCTAGTTTGTGCTTTTTCAGCCTGTCTAATCTCACCATAGATTTCACGTTGCTAAGTTTTTCCGAGTAGATGAGAGAGAACCACTGAGTCCATTCCTTGTCAATTATGATGATGATCTATACTTTAAACATTTTATGAAAATGTATTTGTCCAGAAGATTCCAATTATTTGTCTGGGAAAACCTCTCATTGTGTGAATTTGGTTTCAGAAACAGGATCCCTGCCCACTACACAGATCAGAAAAGTTAGTTTCTCTATTTCTGTTTCTCGAGGCAGTCACGGCACAGGTAGACAACCTAGGTTTAGCCCAGCAGATGCAACAGGCAGGATTTCCAATCTTCCCACGTGACACCTTAGAACTGTTTCTCCCCGTGCCTGCCCCTCTAGCCTTCCATCCTCCTGGTGAGCCACTCGATATCCTGTGAATGAGTGAGGGTGCAGATTCAGAAATCGAAAATAAGTTGCTTAGCCCGGCCAGTATGGCTCAGTGGTTGAGCATCAACCTATGAAGCAGAATGTCACAGCTTAATCCCCAGTCAGGGCACAGGCCCGGGTTACAGGCTTGATCCCCAGTAGGGGACGTGCAGGAGGCAGCTGATCAGTGATTCTCATCATTGATGTTTCTATCTCTCTCCCTCTCCTGTCCTCCCTGAAATCAATAAAAATATTTTTTTTTAAATAAGTTGCTTATCTAAGCTAAAAGCTTATTTCTCTCTCATGACACATTCTAGAGGCAAGTGAACAAGGGCTGCTAGTTAGTTACTGCCATTTCCCGGCCAGCGGGAAGGTCCCCATGGTCTGAAATTCCCACACAGCACTTCCACGCAAGTCCTACACACCTACACTGTGTACAACAGCCACACTGGCTGCAAGGGAGGCTGGGAAATGTGGCTTGTAGCTGGGAGGCCATGTGCTGAGCCAAACACACTGGCTGAGGGCTATTGTAAGAAAGAAAGGAAGGATGAATGCTGGGAGCTAGTCACATTTCTGCTCAAATAAGACAGAAGTGTTTCTGCTGTTTTTAGTCAAAACGTGATTCAGATCCTTTTAGGCCTGCAAAAGAGAGAAACCCGCAGCCACAGTGATGTGGAGGAGACTGGGAAGTGCAGGGGGACTCCATACCCGGGAGTCTGCTTTGTGTGTATTCTGCGCATATGAACATAAAGGCTTCGCAAAGTTGCCTTTCTCCCTCCTCTGACTTATTGAGATGTTTACAATCTTTATTATGTGAAAAATGTCACAGAAGCAGATGGGTCCGCACAGGTCCCTGTCCTTTAAGTAATCTCTTTAATATGCATAGATCATGGCCAGGTCTACGTGTGTGACAAAAGTAAACATCAGATAAGAACATGTGTGCTTTTCTCTGGTACTTTCGTCTTAGGGTTTTGTAAGTGCTTTCTACAGGCAAAGGGGGACAATTGACTCTAATGGTGCTTCCATCCTTACTATAGACTTCTGTGTGATCTGGGGAAATGCTTCACATGGTAAAAGGGTGACAGCAGAGCCAAAACCGGTTTGGCTCAGTGGATGGAGCGTCGGTCTGCGGACTGAAGAGACCCAGGTTCGATTCCGGTCAAAGGCATGTACCTTGGTTGTGGGCAAATCCCCGGCGGGGGGTGTGCAGGAGGCAGCTGGTTGATGTTTCTCTCTCATCGATATTTCTAGCTCTCTATCCCTCTTCCTTCCTCTCTAAAGAAAATCAATAAAATATATTTTTTTAAAAATTTTAAAAAGTGACATCAGATAGTTAAGGAAGAAAGAGTTAGATGAGAAAGTTCAGGGGGAAGTGGAGTGTTGGCTGAGCAGCAGTCTTAGGAGGGGTTCTGAGTAAAACCAATCTGAGAAAACGAGACTGAAGACCAGTAGGACAGGCATACAGAAATGTTAGGAAGGGAACTCAAGACTCGACAGCAAGCGAGGCTTTTCCTCTGTGTTCTCAAAAACAAAAACAAATCTCAATTTCCAGGACACAACACTTTGTTTTGTACATTAGCACAAAACCAAACAGAACCACTAAAATGAACCAACATAAAAGGTTAACATATAATGGCAGTAGCAACAATCAGTTATTTTTTTTAACCCAAAGAATCCGGTTTTAAGTAGCACATTACAGAAAACTGCCAGACCCTGCATCTCAGCAGCTTGCCTCCCTAGCCCTCATTTTCTAATATCTCTGGTTCTGTGGTCACTCCCCAGATGTCCTGGAGACAAATCCCCTTTTTTCCCTCGGTGATTGCTCCACATTTTCCATCTCTGAAACAAAAACCTCCTTTTCCCACTAATGACTCTGGTCATAATCCCAACTTCCTTAAACACAGACGCAGGGGCCGGGTCTGCAGCTCAGAGGACCGGTCTGCACTCGGCCTGCTGGAAAGAAGCACAATCTCCCTTTCATCAACCCTCCCCCCACCCCCAACACCCCCCTCAGCTCAGAGGCCAAGTCTGTCGTCGGTAAGGATCATAACAGTACAGATGGTGTTTGATTTCTACAATACTTGACAATTATAAACAACACGTGTCTCTCTATAAAACTATCCCTATTATCACTCTGTTTTTGCATCCCCACTTCCATTTGCTTATAGACAATCAAGAATCGGAAATGTTTATGACTGGAGGCATTACTGAGGAGAATATAAAATGAGAAAGGCCAATATACCAAAGCCAGGAAAACAAAAAATAATATTCTGAACCAGATCTACAGGACAAAACAAAACAAAAAAAAGTATTTCAAAGAAGGATTAATAAAACTAAAGAACAAAAAGGACAGACATGTCCACAGAGAACAGTACTAAGTAAGTGTCCCCTTGTGTCCCCAGACTGCTGAAGTAAAATGAAGACTGAGGCAGTTTGTAAAGCACCGCGTGTGCAAGCTATACCTGTACTTCTCAAATCTTAACTTAAATATATTCTTGATACGCCATTTTTTCCGTAGAAAATAACGTTATTGTAGTTTCAAGACTGAAATGAAAAGGAAAAGATACCCTCCAGGCACTTTTTAGGAGAAGAAAGGTCACAAATTATTAAAATAGCCACTTAATAAAAGACCCGGCCCTATAATTAAAGAACATTAAGAAATTTGTATCCGCCATAATCATACTAGGCAATCAAATTCAATTCACTAAGTAATCACTGGCATTTTGTGTGGTTGGAGTAGCTGATAGTTTTTAATGAGATAACATGGGTTTAAGATGGGCGTAATTTATACAGAGCCTAATAATTCCTTGCAAGTACTCGGCATACCCAGTAACGAGTTTTTAAAATGTATTTCAATGTATTATGATGAATACAATTTTGGGGACCACATTGCCTCTGGTTATTCCTTAGATAGGTCTGATAGCAACTACTGCTTATCACTACGACCAAATTATAACAACAGGTGAGCATGTCACTTCCTAATATGTATTTCCTGAGTCAAAGTTCCCTCTATCAACAGGATTAGTACGTTCGCACAAAGCAACTTCTCAATATGAAAAAAAAAAATCACACTGTAAGCCACAGATTGATAAGAATATGGATAACAGGCCTATCTCTTCACTTAATTCCATAATGACAAAATTTATAGAGCCCAAAAGTAATCTTTGATGATAGACACTTATAAAAATTATTTAGAAATGTTTCCTTAGGAATCTTTTGCAATAAGCAGCTGAAATACTCTTTATTTTTGTTTTATTTTATTTAAATTCTTTACTGTTTATTACATGTCTCTTTTTACACTTACCATCTACTTTTTAAATATGCTGAGTTTTTAAAATAGCCACAGGAGGGCAGTATTTCCTAAGAAATAAGTTTAATATAGGCATTGAATGCTAGGACATCACAAATCAAATTTGAATGCAGCACACGTTAAATTCAGTCAACAAAAAATGACAGAATATCCTAATAGTCACACGCCTACAATTTAAAAAGCGCTTCATATATATAACGTCCCTTGGTTCTCAAAACAACATATAGACAACATCTATACCAATACTGTTTTGAAAAAGCCAACTGAGTTGATTGTTAATTGAACATTCAAAAAGCAAAACAAAGAAATAAGATTGGGGTGTTGCACACTATAGCAAAACAGACGAGTGTAGATTCGCACTAGTCTCTTAGACACAGGAATCCGTTTCCAAACCCATGACACAGCACAGGCTTACCTTGCCAGCTGTCATTGCAGACACACAGCTTTTCCCCTGTGAGGTCACAGTACCCGTGGTCGGGGCTGCCGCAGTTGGCCTTACAGTAGGGGATGTCGCAGGCCTCGCCCTTCCAGTACTTATCGCATTCGCAGTACACCTGGCTGGGAACGGAGGCGCTCGCTGTACACTTCCCGTGGCCAGAGCAATTGTTGGGACACGAGTTGATTCTGTAAAACGGAATCCATATACGTTCAAATTCAAGAAAACTGAAAAAGGAGTCCGGTTGATATTTTGTAAGCTTTGTAACTGTGTGTCCTCTTACATATTGAACACTTTCACAATGTTGATGTCAACTTTTTATTCTGTACCCTGTGACCCCTAATGCAAATCAGTTACATTTATTTGCAACTGGCCTTAGCTCATCCAGTGAGTTTGCATGGCCACCGAGACGTCAAACTCCCAAAGGCTACACCAGCAACATCTGCAGACACATGTAGTTCCACAAGCAATGCTCCATAAAGACTTAAGTCGGCAGATGTTTTGAATATATAATTTGCAAAGGGAAATTAAATTCATGAATACCTGAAGCTACATGAGAAACCAAGATATAACTTAGTTGTATAATATTTGAATAGCATGCTACCATCTATATGCTGTTATACAGAAATGAGATGCTTGTCAAACATTATTTTAAGGCTCTTTCACTGATTAATAGAGTCTATTGAGTATTTTTTCTTCCTTGCACACATACCTGAGACAAATCAACTCTATAATAAATGGCCGATTCAAGATATTTAGAATTTTTTATTCCTGGTAAAAAATTCTCTACAATTATAAAAATATATATATCATTCTCAACACTTGTAAAGAAAAGGGGAGAAAATGTACGGAGTTCCTCTGTGCTGTTCCAGTAACGGCATCAGAAAGTGTCTCTGGCTTCTTCCCTTCACCCTTAGACTCCAAGATTTTTTAAAAATGGATATAATGTCACACACATAGTAGATGCTCAATAAACATAATTTTCTTTCCGAGAAGACAGTGATGTAGGTGCCTACCTTCTCTCTGAAAGCCTCAATTCCTCCCTGTGTAAAATGGGGGAAATCCCCACTGGTCAGAATTGTTGGGACGAGAAATACAGAACATAGAGTACACGGAGCATCCAGTCTGGTCTGGATTCAGAGGCTATAAACACAGACCCCCCACCACCTGAAGGCCAGGAGGGCAGAGGAGCTCCTATTACCCTAATTAGTATTTGTTCACTCCATCGTTTACCAACGACTTTAAATTTCATAATTAATTTCCAACCAAACTTAGCGTGCTACCAATGTCCCGAGACTTAGGATTGATCCTGATGTGAGCTCAGATAGGATTCTGAGGCGTGTTATTAACATCTGATGTCACTTAATGGTGTTGAAATGTCACACACTAGCCGCTCCTCGTATATATCTACAAAAGCAAACAGTAAACTCTTTGAAGACAAATCATAAAATCCCTTACAATATGAAGTTTCAGAAAGATTACTTACGAATAGAAAATGTTGAAGCCGGTGAGGTTGTATGCAGCATCACTAAAGAAATGTAACAGTGCGTAGCCAGACGTTGTAACGACTTCAGGCACGCTCTCATTTCCCCGGATCTCAGGGACTATCAAACCACTGCAAGAGACAGAAGTTCAACATTGTGTGCATTAGTACACAGCTGACGGTTAATCACACAAAACGCACTCAACAATATCTTTTCGGGGTCACTCAGAATCGCTATGAGAATGGGCAGACTAGGAGGATAAAGCTAAAACGGCTCTTACCCCATCGGCTGTCCCGCAGCCAGCCCGCTCACACCCACTCTCCGGCCACCCCACCCTGATTTCTTCCAGCCCTGTGCACTGTAAGGTCCATCCTCCCTTTGTCCTCTCCCCATCCTGTCCTAACGCTCTAAGGTGGTCCTTGGTACTCTAAGTGACCTGTGGCTTTGCTTTCTCCTCCTGGCGAAAAATTCTGGTGAAAATGTTGTGTGACCACCTCCACTAGCCGTCTCCATCATCCCAAACATAAACTCTACTCCTGACACAATAACTCCCTGTTTCCCCCCTACCCAGTCTTTTTTAACGTTACTCCTTGTGATGTTTTTTAGGTCAATGCCACCAACTGGTGGTCCCCAGACCACTGGTGGTCCGTGAGGGCTGAAAGGCTGGCAACCGCTGTTTTTGATAACAATCCCTGCCTTGATTTCTCCCACTTTCTGTAATCTTCCTCACACGCCCTCCCTAAATTCAAGTGCACAAAAGAACCTGACAACTGTCATACTCTTGGGAGCATTTATTTCCCTCTGTTGAGATCTTGCTTCTATGTATGGTCCCCTGTTTAATTCAAATAACGTTTTATAAAAATCCTAATAAAAAAAAAATTCTGGTGAAGCTAGAAGGAATACCACACAGGAACTAAGAGACTGCAATGACATCCTTGTTAAAGTTGTCCGCTTCCAATATCCTAGTCCAGGTATTTTAGGTCATCTAGGGATATATGCTTTTTATATTTCTTCAAAATGTTGCGTGCTCATACCAATTATATGAATACAGAACTACTGCAAATATACTGTTACTCACTTAAGGCCATCTGCACATAAAAAAACAAACAAACTGGTGGGGGACATAAATGTGCAAAAGTAAGAAATAAAGTTGATAACTGGTACTTCTTTTTTAAGCCAATTTGTTCCTGCAGAAAATCCCAGGTCTTCACTTACTTACATCCACTCCTCCTCTAAGTCTGTGGAAACACACAATCTAGAGAAAAGAAGCTGCTACCAACTAATTACCCCCCACCACGGGGCCAGCCCCTTTACAGGACTCTGAGCTAGCACTGGGCACCCCAGGAACTGATTACCTCAAAGCTGGCAGAACAAAATAAAATATTATAGTCAAACAATGTATTTGGCAAATGCAGTCCCAAAAGCAAACAAAGAGTAATCCACTCTTGATGTTTTAATAATAATTATTACATCTACTAGCTTATGTTTGAAAAGAACAAAAGATTTTTAAAGGGAGATTGTCCATAGAATTCAAAGGCTGTAACACCAGTCTTAGTTGCACATATATTTTTTCATTGTCACCATGAGATATCAAAATGAGCACACTGCTAAAAATAATACTCCCAAGCCTTTACAATAAAAATAGTTAATCTCTCTGAAACGATAAAAAGCACAGATTTATTTGCTTGGTTGTTTGTTTGTGTGTTAAAAGCATTAAATAAATGAGGGCTTCTACCTCTTGTACAGCTTAAGCAGTTTGGACCAGACAGCCCCGCCACTGACGTCAGCTAGAAAAATGACAAATCGCATAAAAACAAACAAACCTGCCTGCATGCACTGGGGAACTAAGAAGAGGGTGAGCACAGGCAGTGGGGCCATTTCTCCTCGTAGGCATTGCTGATTTCCAAGTTGGAAGTAAGGGCTGAAGAGCTGAGAATCTCGGTTGAGATTCAGAGCTAGGAAAACAAAAAGTGGAAGCCAGGGCCCTCTCCTTGACCAGAGTCCCCCAAGAGGAGAAATAAAAGTGAACCAATCAAATACAGGGCCTTCAGGGGACCAGCCTGCAGCTGGGATGTGAATTGGGATTCAGCTGACTGTGGATTGCCGGCATCCTCAGGCACCCTCTCTAGGACTATAGCATCTTTCAGGTCTCAGGTTATTGCTACAAAAGACTTTACAAACATGATGTCCAGCACATCACTGTCCAGCACACAATTTTTAAAAAAAGCTGCCCACCTGGCATGGCTCAGTTGTTGAGTGTTTAACTATGAACCAGGAAGTCATGGCTAGATTTCCGGTCAAGGCACATGCCTGGGTTGCAGACTCATGTTGCGGGGCATGCAGGTGGCAGCCAATCAATGATTCTCTCACAACATTGATGTTTCTATCTCTCTCTCCCTCTCCCTCTCTGAAATAATAAAAATATTTTTAAAGACTTCAATCCAATCCATTCTCAAAAATCTAAAAAGTCTTGCCGAGACCAGTTTGACTCAGTGGATAAAGCGTCGGCCTGCGGACTGAAATGTCCTGGGTTCGATTCCCGTCAAGGGCATGTACCTTGGCTGCGGGCACATCCCGGTGGGGGTGGTGCAAGAGGCAGCTGATCGATGATTCTCTCTCTTTATCCCTCTCTCTTCCTCTCTGTAAAAAAATCAATAAAATATATTTTTTTAAAAATCTAAAAAGTCTTACCTACAAAGTCCAATGTCTTTAGCGTGATAACCAGTACAAGCAATAGTGCAGTGATTAAGGGATTACAAAACCTGACCTCATATTCTGACTCCATCACTTATCAGAGAGGCAAGTTTGGGTCACTCACAGATTCTCTCTGTGCCTCGATACTTTATTTATAAAATAGCAATAACAATACCTAGAATCAGGCCATTGTGAGGACTCAGTGAGTTAATGTATATGAAGCACTCCTGCACACCGCCTGTCACATAATGAGTATTCAGTAGACGTTACTGACTACTGTTGGTGGGCAATCTGGCTCCTACCTATCCTTACCTATAATCAAGTGACTCAAAACCACTTACTACTATCTAATATCCCAAACTATAATGTACTTTACTGTGTCTATGCCTTTATGCATGTTTTTCTCTATCAAAATGACATCCAACCTGGTCCTCCTTCTTTGCCTATCATTCTACTCATGATGAAATTCACCATGAAGAATTAGCTTCTTCTGAAATCATAGGGTGCTCTTTTCAAAATCTGATTGTAACATTTAATGTGCTGAGTGCTCTATTTACATGCTGCCACCAGTGGCTAACTGCTGTGTAGTGCTATATCCCCAAATCCTTAGCATTGCCCAAGGGACAGGCGTGTCTGTTACTCTCCGTAGGCCCTGTTGGTTTATGGTAATGAGAAGACTCAGGATGGAAGCTGGACACTCCAGAAAGACCAACCACGTGATTTAAAGGGTCCAGGCTTGAGCCACAAGCAGTCAGTCTGACTTCCAGAGAGAGGGCAGGAGCTGGCGAGTGAGCTGGGCCTTGTGGCCGATGGTTCAATCAATCAGGCCTGTATAACGAAAACCCAGTGAAAGCTGACCCCTGTAGCTGAGGGAGCCTGCTGAATGGAGACACATGAGTGAGCTGGGAGGGTGACCCTCCCGAGGGCACAGGTGGTTTGTTTGTGATCCTCCCAGACTCTCCCTATGGGTCGCCTCATTGGCTGGTTGTGATGTTTATCCTTCATGATAAAACTATGATGATATGTACAGTGCTTTCCTGAGTCATTCCAGCGAATTACTGAACTTACAGGGGGTGGGCACCCCTAAACTTTAGTATAAGTGACCGGGGGAGCTCCTGAACTTGCAGCTGGTGTCTGAGTGAAGGGCAGTTTGATGGAGCACTCAACCGATGAAGTTAGGCCTAAATCCAGGTGGCTGGTGTCTAAGTCACTGCAACCCTCTTTATCTTATCTCTCACATCCTCCAGACTTATCACAGCCTCTGGAACTGAGCGAGTTATCAAATATCTGTCACATAGGAAATATACTTATGCACCTAGAATAATTTGAACAATTAGATTCTGAATTCTTAGCAACATACAATTTAGATTTTAAGTCACTAAACTATCAAGTCCTAATCCTGACACTACTATCTATTATATGTAAAACTTAATTTCTCCGAGTCTCAATTTTCTCGACTCTGGAATGGGGATAACAGTAATTCTTCCACAAGGTCCTTGTGAGGATTACATGACATTTAAATTTTTAAATTGATTTCAGAGAAAGGAAGAGAGAGAAACATGGACCAATTGTCTCTCACACGTGCCCCCTCCCCACCCTGGGGATCAAACCTGAAACCTAGAAACTACGTAAGTGCCCTGACAGGAATCAAATCAGCCACCTTTTGGTGTATTGGATGAACAGCCAACCCAGGCACCCTGGCCAGGGCAGATTACGTGACATTTAAGCTGCCCACTACAGTGCTTTTCAATAAGCAGGATGTTTTCCTCTCCCTCCGGACACCTAACAGGAACATTCGCTAATGAGGAGTCACTGGTTCCATCTTCAAGGTCATATACTAAATTGCATCTGCTAATTATCTGACAAAAGTTTTCTTCAGTGTCAAGAAAGGGTAGGTAAGAGTGCTAATGGGCCGCTGTTAATTAATGCAAAGTCATTACAACTACATACTGGGAAAACAAATGAAAAGGCACACATCTAAATGATGGTCAGTCAACAGTGTCATACAATAGAGTAATGGCAGTAGAATGACATCTAAATTGCTGGGGGGGGGGGAGGGGAAATAAAATATATGAACCCAGGACTTTATCTAATTGTCACAATGAATTATCGTACAGTGTGATTATTCGGGAGGCACTCCTCCGTTTTCTATCTCCTGCCCTTAGATGAAGGACTAGCCGTGGCTACTTTCATATAATTTTCAAACATTTCAGAGATTAAGTTCTACAAGTATTTTGAGTAATAATGATATCACACAGCTGGGTCTAAGCTCCCAAGGAGTCACTCTGAAATGGTCACTTGGAAATTCAAGTCTTTACATGTTTTTCCAAAAAGATTATAGTTCACATTCCTGATAAACCGAATACTGGCAACAAAAGAAAATGAAAATTTTTATAGGGAATAAACTTATCTATGTTTAAATTTTTAACAGTGACTGAACACATAAAAGATTCTATGTAAATAACAAAAGTAAAAAATAATGAGTAACTCTGATCAACAATCACATTCATTAACTTATATACAAAATCTACATTACATGTTCATAATTTTTCCTATGCCTAATATTTCCTACTAGTAATAAACATTTTATAATTTGTACATTCAAACATAAAGATTTTAAAAATTTATTGAAAATGATGTGGTTTTAAAATTAAGCTTGATTACCTGACTACTAATCTACTAATAAAGTATTTTGAAGCAACCAAAATTCCCAAATCTGAGAACTGATGGACACACCTTCTTTTTTAAACCACTAGAGGCCCAGTGCATAAAATTCATGTGTGTGGGGGGGGCGGGGGAGGAAGGAGGAAGAGATGTCCCTCAGCCCAGCCTGCACCCTCTCCAATCTGGGATCCCTCGAGGATGTTCAATTGTTCATTTAGGCCCAATCCTACCGGGATCATCCCTCTCACAATCCAGTACTGCTGGCTCCCAACTACTCGCTTGCCTGTCCCTAACTGCTTCTGCCTGCCAGCCTGATTACCTCCTAACCACTCCCCTGCCAGCGTGATTGATGTCTAACTGCTCCCCTGCCAGCCTGGTCACCCCTAACTGCCCTCCCATGCAGGCCTGGTCCCTCCCAATTGCCCTTCCCAGCTGGCCATCTTGTGGCAGCCATCTTGTGTCCACATGTGGGCAGTGATCTTGTGTGCTGGAGTGATGGTCAATTTGCATGTTACTTTTTTACTAGATAGGATTACATAAAGCATAATTTAACCTTTTTATAAAAATTGCAAATTGTATCATTTTGCCAAAATAAAAAGCCAACTACATATTTATATATATAAAATATATATATTTGTGTGTGTGTGTGTGTGTATATATATATATATATATCCCCATATCTATTTATTTGTCAGCTAGAACTCATGTTAATTTATTCAAATAGTTCTCAAAACATCATCAAATCACTTTAAAAGAATACACTATATAAGGACATTCATTCAGAAATCTACATTTCTGATATAAAACTCATTTATCTCTACTATATCAATACCAACATTATTGTATATACACCTAAGTTGGTGGTCAATATCTCTGCAAATTTATTTTGGACTACAGATCAGTATATCTTTAAAATTAATAAATTATGTAGTTACTTTCCTAAAGCCGTAAGTTCATCAATTAAACATAAATACTCACCTAAGTACAGCTATTAAAGGTGCATATATAGAATCTCCATCATAAACATACATGTGATCCCAGCTACATTCTGTAGCAAAATGATTGAATCTTAATCTTAACACTGCATTTGGACTAAAAGGAAACAAAATATTTTAGAATGAATGTATAATATGCAAAGCAGAGTCCATTTACAGATAATTTTGCTATAAATCCTTAAGTCACCTAGTACAGATAATTTTGTTATAAATCCTTAATTTTGCTCTAAATCTTTGAGTCAGTGTGAAAGACTGAGAAGCAGTCACATTTAAACTATAAAAAAGACATATAACTTCAAAATCCACTACCAGGCCATGTGTATGCATCATCATTTTCTAAAGATTCAGTCCACAGGGAATGTTCAGTCTCTGTGGAGATTGAATAGATTGCATGCATTACTGAAACCTATTGAACGGTATACTTAATATATGTGCATTTTGTTTTATGCACCTTGTTCTTGAATAAAGTTGAATTTTAAAATTCAACACTCAAGAAGCAACTATTGTAATTTCTACACAAACCCTAACCAGAGGCCCTAATAAGGTCTTCAAATTTTAACTGAAATATGAAATACTATTAACAAGGAAACAAAATGAGACCATAGGTGCACAGGTAATTAATAACTTTCAGGTTCTGAAAAACTCTATAAGTATACCCCAAAACTGCCAGTTTTCCAAAGGTACTCTTTAAAAAATCATAATATTGTTCAAACAATTCATATTGATTCATTTATGATCCCTTCATAATGTTTAAATAGATAAATTCAGTCTAATGCCCTAACGACTGAAAAATACCTCTGAAAGCAAAATTCACTCTTTTCTATAAAACGTTCTATTTTTAACACCCTCAGAACGAACATGCTCATTAATATAAATCAATGGTATAATTTGGCATGGAGTATTTTTACTTTCTATGGAATCTTCAAATTCTATAACAAGATGTCTAAAATAAGCCAAAAAAATGCCTACTTGCTTTAAAATGACACACTAACAAACATCAAAAATAAAATTATGTAAAAATTAGCCTGACAGATGTGGCTCAACAGTTGAACGTTGAGCTATGAACCAAGAGGTCATGGTTTGATTCCCAGTGAGGGTACATGCCCGGGTTGGAAGCTCAACTCTCAGTGGGGGACGTGCCAGAGGCAGCCAATCAGTGATTCTCTCATCATTGATGTTTCTATCTCTCTCTTCCTCTACCTTTTTCTCTGACATCAATAAAATACATATTTAAAAAATAAAATACATGTAAAAATTAAACTATTATCACAAGTGATAGGTATTGTAACTTATATTAAATGTGATATCTAAAAGTTGTAAAGCCATAAAAATGTCGTGAATACTAGTAGTTTATTTAATAATAAGCAATTAAATAACCTCTACTATTATAAAGTTGTTACACTTTACTGCTTTAACATTGATATGACATCTTCTTTATCGTTTTAGAATAAAATAAATATACCCAAACTGCATACTTACTAGCCTTCAATTAGCCATGTACATTTAGTTTTATACTTATAGTTAATTGGACCATCTGTTAAATATCCAGAAGGTTCTGTTAACCTAGAAAACAAAATCATGAAAATAACTACCTTAAAGAAACTTTAAGACATAGAGTAGCATAAGAAAATTTAAAAGACATTAAGTTATAGGATATAGCATTTTTGTCAAAAAATAAGTTATTTACAACTTAGAAAATTTTTCCAATTGCCATATATTTCTCTAGATCTCAAAATAAATTTATTTTGGCTTTCTTTAAACCTTAATGTATTAAAACCATTTCATTTTATATGTTGGAAAAAATGTACTGCAAGACTGAACATTATATTGATGGGTTGAATGTTGACACAGAATAGATTAAGTTAAATTTCCTGTGCACAAAAATTAGGTGGAGGCAAAGGAAGGAAAAATCAAATACACTGAAAAATACAGATCTTTGGAATAAGCAATAATATAGTGCATGCTACCCTCAGAGCTAAACTGTTAGCTCTATATTTGTTTTTCACTCACCAGAATTGCTAAAGTAGTCCTCACCAAGCTTACTGATTTTGGCTACCGTATTTTCCGGCGTATAAGACGACCCCCTAATTTTACAATTAAAACATAGGTTTAGGCCTATATTTGCTGTATAAGACTACCCCCCACTTCCGAGGCAACACCAGTTCTTTTTTTAATTAAATTTTTAATGAATGACATTTTTCGAACATACCGTAATATACCGTACATTGATATGATAAATGGGAGGTCTCTTCACAAATGGCAATGCCATGAACTTGACCGAGAAACAAGAAATCCAGACAATTTTCGGGATCGAGTTGGAAAATTCGTTTAGCGGCATATTCAGATGTTTTTCAGGATATACTGGGTGTATAAGACGACCCCTGATTTTCGGTTGACTTTTTTTCGTTTCAAAAGTCGTCTTATACGCCGGAAAATACGGTACCTGTTTTTATTATCATGTTCTCTTGTCTATATGATTTTTCAGAATTTAAAAATATTTAAAACAGGATCCCAATTCTACTTCATTTTATTCTCCTTAGTTCAGCCCAATTAGTTTACCAAGACCATATTTTAAATAATTACAATAGCTTCCCATTTAGCCTTTATATATTTATATATGCATATAAAGACAACATACATACACATATCGGGGCTTATAACCTATCACATATGCATACACACGTACATACAACACATATATACAACACAGATATAAGGATCATTATCTAGTCTTAGATAAAATTAAAATTTCCTTATATTATAGAGTTTTAAAAACATTAAGGGGAAAAAGATTTATCTACCCAAATTAGGGCTGATTAAAGGGTCAATCAATATGAATGTTATTTGTAAATCTTTCATAATCCCAGCCAGGTTACTCTGGGCAAGAAGGAGGCTAGTTCATGTTTAGAAAAGTTTCTGAAGAGCAACAGACAAATTGCAATGTTCTCAAACTAATGAAATAATAAATTGAGCATTTTCTATTGTACATGTCAGATACTACTATAAGTGCGTAATGTATGACTTCATTTTAAAATCCCCAAACCTGCCCTAGCTGGTTTGGCTCAGTGGATAGAGTGTTGGCCTGCAGACTGAAGGGTCCTGGGTTCGATTCCAGTCAAAGGCACATGCCCAGGTTGCAGGCTCAGTCCCCAGTAAGGGGCATCCAGGAGGCAGCCAATCAATGATTCTCCCTCATCATTGATGTTTCTTTCTCTCTCTCCCTCTCCCATCCTCTCTGAAATCAATAAAAATATATTAAAAAAATAAAATAAAATCCCCCAAACCCTAAGAGATAGTGAGTAGTTATTAATCCTATAGTCAAGATGAGAAATTGAAAGCACAGTTAAATAACAGGCTAAATCGTTTGTACTGATTTTTCACTTCCAATAATGTCAGATGAGGTAATTCGGACAAACCCACCACTGAGGACAATTTAAAAAGCTAAGAACCATTTTAAAATCTTAAAAGCATGCTGTAAGGAGCAAAATGGTAAGATCTGCCAAGCCAAGATGAAGAAGTTGCAAATTCCAGGCATTCAAAGCTACTTTTGCGGGGGAGAAATCTGTCTGTTTAGAAGATACTGCCAAAGGCTGAGAGCTTCTGGCAGCCTCTGAAATGGGTGACAGAAAACCCCCAGACCTGCAATTGGCTTCAGGTGGTACTAGACCTGCCAGAACACTCAGGCTCCTAATGTTTCAAATTCACCAACAGACTTGTAAGTCACAAGGACAATTAGACAATATTTTTAATTGAATACCAAAACCACAACACATCAAAATTTATAAGATGAAGCTAAATCAGTGTTTAGAGAGAAATTTCTAATTCTAAATGTATGCATTAGAAAATTGATAATCAATTATGACTCAAAAAAACCTAGAAAAAGACAATAAATTAAACAACATGAAAGTATAAGGGAATAATAAAAGCAGAAACCTCTGAAACAGAAAACAGTCTTATAATAATGAAAATTTATATAATTAAAAGTTGGCTTAATAAAGACTAGTAAATTAATAACCCCGTATCAAAACTACTCAAGGAGAAAATATTGATTGCCATTATCAAAAAGGAAATGAGGAACATTACTACTCATGCTACAGGAAGAATAATATATTAAGAACTTCATACTAATAAATTTGACATTTTAGATGGAATGCAAAAGTTGTTTTTAAAGTACAACTTGACTAAACCAAAACAAGAAAAAAAAAAAAATTTATAAGTATCTCTCATACAAAAATCCTAAACTGAGTATTATCTAATTTTATCTGGTATAGATATTAAAAATACATATAAAAAGAAGAGCATGTAACAGTATTCCTGGAAGAGGTATGTGTGAAGACTTGGAGGTTCATGAAATAGCATGATATCTTTGGGGAACTGCGAGTGATTCAGAGGATCAATGAGTAATGAGTAAGACAAGACTATACACAGTAATCGATATGACATTGTATGAAAATCATCCTAGGGATAGTCCTCCAGAGCAAGAAAGCAGCTCCACAGAAGGCACTACACAAAACACTGAAAGCAAATATGAACAGCCCCTGCTGGCTGAGTCAAAACATTAGAGTAAGGCAAACAATAGGTACGCCAATAGCCTGGGAGAAAATGTGGGGAGTGAGATTCTTTGAAGAAGCAGGACATTCAGAAGCTGCTCAGTACATGGGCCTGGGAATTTGGGCAGACCCTGAGCTCAGAAAGACATGAGAAGACCTACCCTTTCGCCTCCGGCTAATTTTCCCACTGGGAACCAGAAGGAAGTGAGGCGAAGGCCGAGTCATAGGCAACCTGGCTAAGCACGGAAGGAGTGCCACAACAGTCCATCTACAAGGCCCGGGAGAGCTCCTTATTTGTGCTTGGCTCCAGCACTCGCGGAAATTTTTTAAATACCACCTGACCACAAGCCAAAGGAACAGAGACTTTAGAGACCACACACAACAAAGAATACTGTCATTACAAAAACTCGGTTAGGGAAGTCACTGAACAAGTACACAATGATGACACACAGAAACAATAAAAAGGAACCCTCAGGAGGGGGAAGAATCTGATTTCTATTACCGTGTTTCCCCAAAATAAGACATCCTCTGAAAATAAGACCTACTTACAGGTTTCCTTCTAAGTGAAATATAAGGCATCCTCCTGAAAATAAGCCCCCCCACCCCCCTAGGCTCTGTCTCAGAATGCTATTGCGAAACATGAGAGATTTGGTCCACTGATTCTGAAAGAAATGGAGTTACAAGAAATTCACCAGGAAATTCAGGAATTGGATTGTTATGATGATGTTCCAGAAGATGATGACATGATTGTCATTGAATAAATGAGTAAATTCTTGATACTGTAGGATTCACAGTTTGTCTGGTTTGTGTTGACAACTACCGTACAACCATACCGTATACAGGTAATAAATTTCCTTTAGTTTCATTTAACAATTAATGTGTACTGTATTCTTCTTCATGGAAAAATAAGTCATCCCCTGAAAATAAGACCTAGTGCATCTTTGGGAGCAAAAATTAATATAAGACACTGTCTTATTTTCGGGGAAACAGGGTATATGTCATCCTATATAATAAAGAGCTAATATGCTAATTAGACCAATCAGCAGAACAACCGACCGTCTGGACAACCTTCCGGACAGAACCGGGTTGCTAGGGCTGGCCAAGGCTGCGAGGGCCGGCTGGGGCTGCGAGGGGCTCTGAGGGCTGAGCCCCTTGCAAGAATTCCGTGCATCAGGCCTCTAGTATTATAATAATCAAATGTCCAGTCTCCAACAACAAAAAATTACAAGCATGCAAAGAAACAAGAAAGTACGCTCTTCAGAGAAGCTAACAGAAACTGTCCCTGAGGAAACAGACACTGGGTGTGCTTGACTAATTCAACTGTTTTCAATGGGCTAAAGAGCTAAAGGAAACCAGCAAAATGATATCTCAACAAATAAAGAATAGCAATAAAGACTTGGAGATGTCCTTATCACAACATCCAAGTCAATATTACTTCCATCCTCTCAATAAGCAAGGTAACATGCAGGAGACTTGCATAAAAGTTTCCTCTGGATGTCAGCCTAAGCATAGATCCCTAAGAGGCTCCATGAAGAAATCCTTCTCCCACCTAGCCGGCATGGCTCAGTGGTTAGCATCGGCCTGGGAACCAGGAGGCAGTAGTTCCATTCCTGGTGAGGCACATGCCATGGCTGCAGGCCGGATCCCCAGTAGGAGACTGTGCAGGAGTAAGAGAGGAAAGCCCTGCCACTCCCACAGTGAGAACAACTCTCCCTTCGCAGTGCCCTGCCCTCTTCTCCAGCACCCGCCTCCTTCACCTCCCTGCCACTTGAACCCAGCACTCCCACACGGGCACATCGGGGCATCCTCACCATCTGGAACCGCTCTTCTCATTCGGAAGTCTTCCACTCCAGCATGACAAACACCTGGTTTCCAACCTTTCCGTACTTCTTACTCCTGATGCCCTCCTGTCCAGCGGTGTGGAGGTCTCCAGGAATGAGCTGGATAGAGTTCGGCCTCCTACATAACAACTGTTTCTAATGCTGCTTCTACAATGCACTCTAAGTTTCAAAC